TGGTCTACCCAAAATAATTGGGGTTTGCATATCCTCAGCCATATCAAGAACAACAAAATCTACAGGTATATAAAATTTACCTACTCTAACGGGGACATCCTCTAAAACATCTAAGGAGTATTTGAAAGAACGGTCGGCCATTTGTAGAGTTATATTGGTAGCTTTTAATTTACCCATATTCAACTTAGAACACACAGATAATGGCATGACGCTAACACTTGCACCCAAATCACATAATGAATTATCAATCAAGAGATTGCCAATATGACAAGGGATAGAAAAGCTACCTGGATCTTTTAATTTAGGTGGAGACTTATTTTGAAGTACGACACTACACTCTGCAGTGAAAGCTACTGTCTCTACCTCACTAATAGACCTTTTCCTCAACAATATTTCTTTCATAAATTTTGCATACGAGGGGATTTGTGTGATTAATTCAGTAAAGGGAACTGTTACCTTCAAATCCTTTACCACCTCCAGGAACTTACCAAACTGCTTATCCAAGTTTGTCTTCAATTGACGATTGGGGAATGAAAGTTTGATAATTGGCTTTGGAGCATTATTACTCTTGTCTGGAGTAGCCACCTTCTCTGGAGTCGTACCCTGCAATGTAGAATTAGATATGTTAGTAATATCCTTTAGCCCTACAGGGCTATCAACTACATTGTTTGGTTTAACGGAATCAAGATTAGCATTATTTAATAAAACAGGTTCATCAACTCTAGGCATAGAGGGCCCTTCATAGTTTGAACCACTCCTTAGAGTAATTGCAAATGCTTGATCTGTAGGCCTAGTCGGTTGTGCCGGCAGAGCTTCCTGTTGGCGGGCTTGTAGGGTAGCAGAGAGTTGCGCAATTTGATTATCAACAATTTTATTATGCGCTAGAATTTGATCAATTGTCGCATCTCTTCTCTCCATGTGCTTTTGCATATTAACCAACATTGCTCTAATTTCCACCAGAGAAGGGTCGGAAGATGAGGAGATTTGTTGTGGTTGGTTCTTCTGACTAGCATTGGGATGGTAATATTTCTGCTGCTTTTGTTGTGGTGCCTATGGTTCTTGTGGTGGTGGATTTTGAAATTAGTGCTCCGGTAGGAAAGGTACGGATGATTCCGATACCCAGGATTGTAGGTGTTGGAGTATGGGTTATTCTAACTATAAGCTTGGAAGGCATTAACTTGCTCCACGGAACTCCTGCAATCTTGCTCCCAATGACCTACAATACCACAATTTTCACAGAAAGCCTCATTAGAATTATTATTAATCGCAGAAACATTAGCTACATTAGCAGTGCTCAGATTATCTAATTTTTGGCAAATAGAGGTTAGTTGAGCTTGCAAAAAGGATACAGAGTCGATACTATGCTTCCCCTTGTTAGCAAATCCTCTAGCGTTCCCATATTGGGAATTGTGTATCGTCATGTCTTCAATAACCTGGCCTGCATCTTCAACATCAAGATTCATAAACTTCCCACTAGCTGCAGAGTCTAAAATTATTCGAGAAGAATTTCCAAGGCCATTATAAAAGGTTTGGATTAACTGCCATTGTGCTAAGTTGTGGTGAGGGCAATCTCTTTGTAAATCCTTGAACCTCTCCCAAACCTCATATAAAGATTCATCGGCTTCTTGGGCAAAGTTCTGGATCGCACTCCGTAATACGGTTGTTCTCTCTGCAGGATAATACTTGTTATAGAAATTCAAAACAAGAGTTTCCCAGTCAGTTATACCAAGTGTAGTTCTATTTAAGCTATTAAACCACAATTTAGCTTTTCTAGTTAAAGAGAAGGGAAAGAGAATCTCCCTGATTTGGTCTTGAGTGACCCCGGCTTGCCTGATGGTGTTACAATATTGACAATAGTCAGCAATGTGAAGATTCGGGTCTTCACCCTTGGCTCCACTAAATTGCTTCCTCTCTATCATCATTATAAATTGAGGCTTATTTTCAAATTAAACCCCATCAAGAGCTGGAGTAGGGGTGAGATGTGGAAAATCCGTAAGCTTTGGTTGTGAATAATCACTAAGCTTCTTTGGAGTCGTCATCTCTGATTCTGCGTCTTATGATGTCTCTGAATCGCTGGAACCAGTCGGAGGATCGCGGTGATTATTGTTATTATCACCAGAATCCGCAAGGATTTGCTAGTAGAAATTTTTCTGTCTATGAAAGGAACGTTCGATCTCAAGATCGAATGGGATGTACCCTGATCTAGAACACCTGGGCATAAACAAAAACTAGAAGAAAATGTGAGATTTGTCTCAGAGAACTAACGCTCTCTGAGACAAAAGGGAAATAATCTAGACTACAAAAACAATCAGAAATAAAATAAAACCGTTTTCCCGGCAACGGCGCCAAATTTTGACAGGGTAAAGTCGTATCCCCTAATCAAAAATAATTCTTAAGTCCTCTAACTAAAGCAGATAGGGAAGTAGGGTCGATCTCCACAGGGAAACAAGTCTTTCTATTCCTAATTAACTAAAATAATCTAGATTATGAAGTAACCAATATTTATATTTGAATAAAAAACTAAACTACTAAGATTGAGAATAGGGTGAAAACGATATATAAAAGGATCTAGGCCATAGGTTCACCAATAAATAATACTCCAGGGTAAAACATAATAATCAATCATTGACATTGCATAAATAACATGATTAACAGGCTCTTGCAATTTATTAATCAACATAAATCTAACAGGCTCTCGCAATTTACTAGATCTAAGCTCATTGAAAATAGCCTTTATTATCAAATTAACATCTGCTCGATTCATCAATTCAATATTTCTATACTTTTACAAGCCGCAATTGTAAAGCGTTAAAACAATTCAATAAGAAATTATCAAGCAATACCAATAATCAATAATAATCAATCATCAATGCATCAATTAACCAGATTGTAAAGGGCTTTCGCTACGTATTACAATCACACAATTAATTTACCGGTATTAAATCTCATCTCTCGAATCTCGACTTAACCATTTATAAATTAATCTGCCTATTGAAACTAGACCTAAACATCAATTCTCATCTATCGAATCTCGAATCAATATTGTCAAACTCATGCATAAAAGATCAGGCCTAATCTAGTCACAGAGCATTAAATCAATTAATAGGAAATTAATCTAGCATTGATAATTAACAACAATAATTACCCCTTTATATTATTTATGGATCCCCATAAACCCTAGAAATAGAGCTACTCACACATATTAAAAACTAAACTAATCAAAGCAATAAAATAAGTCATGATGAAAGGAATAAAATAAACAACTAAGATTAAGAGAAGAGAAAACGTTACCAAAATAAAGCTGAGATTAAGAGTAGAATTAAGAACAAAGGTTTTGGAGAAAGAAAATCTAAGAAAACAATTAAGAGAGTAAAGAAAGAGTAAAAAGAGGAAGAGAGAGAGAGAGCTAAAATCGTATTACGGAGGAGTATTTATACTCCGTACAAAATCCTAAACTAAAACAAATTAAAACGACGCTAAGCGTCTCCTAAGAAATACACGCGCCCGATCGAGCGCCAGCCTTAGGTTCTCCCGCCCAAATGCCCCGGTATCACCTATACCGAGCCTTTAATCACCGGTTCGATGGCTCTAACCGGCCTTGGGCTATAGAATCTGGTCGTGCTTCTCCAATGTTCGTGATTGCTCCAAAATAACTCGGGAAAATACTCCAAAAGCATAAATCCCTGCAAAAGTCAACCAAATCTACGAAAACACTAGATAACACCAATTAGTAATAAAAGTGGCTCTAAAGAGCCAAAAACACTATTAATTATGACCAAGGGACGGAGTAAAATACTATATAAAATAGACACATCAAAACCCTTAACGCGTTTTCTTCCCCGTTTACTAAATATTTCCCGCGTCACTCAAAATTTGCACCGTGTCACGGGAATGTTTCTTGTCTGACGGTGGGACTTCCCGTGTCACAGTACAGTTTGTCGTGTTGCGAGATACGTTTTTAGGATTTTTATCATTTTAGGGTTCCGTGTGCTCCCTCAGCACATTTTCTCTATAAATACCCCCTCATTTCTGATGTACTGGGCATAAATTAATTCTCTAGTTTTTTCTCTCTTCTATGCTTTAGCCTAAACACTAGCCTACCCTTCTTCTTTCAAAATTCCTTCTTCAAGTACTCTAAGTAATCCATAATTTACTTGTGGTTCTGTCCTTAAGCCAAGGCATGAAAGGTAGAACTGTTTGAGGGTTTGGCCCCAAATCAATTCTATTTAATTTAATTTAATTATTGTTTTATTATTATTTCCTTGAAGTTACTAACTCGTTTATTATTTTGTAGTTGAAAACAAACAGAATCAAAGTAAGAATTATGTTCCTTTTATTTCTATTATTTTTCTAACGATTTTATATTGTTAGAATTATTGTTAAATTGTTTACAATATTAATGTTAATTCTATTATTATTTATTAATCACCATATTGCATGTTAAAGGGAATAGATAATTGAAAATCACGCCTAATAAGATAATTTGGACAACCGGTTTAGGTTTTTTTTAATCTTGTTATTTAATTCAAGTGATCACAAATATATTAGAATTATGTGTTGCATTAATATTCAATCAATTTAGCCTAATAATAGTGTGGAGCGAATTGAATATTTTGTTTGTATGCCTTTGAGATCGCAGGAATGTTTTTCACTATAAGAATCGAGTAGAGGCCAATACGGGCGAATGTGACTCCATGACTCACTTCGAACCATCATCCCCGATCCTCCTTTCGTGGTTCCGAACCATATGGAGTTAGTAATCTCATGGATTCTGAATGGGGTGTAATCTTCACGGGTCAATCGTTGTTTCCTATCGTTGTCTCTTTATCATGGTTGCCTTTTATGATCCGTGAACGGTTTACAAGTTCCTTAAAAACTTGTCGGCGGCTCCCTACTTTATTTGTCCCTAATCGTGTTATGTCAATTCTCACTTCCTATGAGTGCCAAACATATTCACAAATGCTTTAACGTAGGCATACTTCGAGAGACGCCTACAATAACAAATACAAATTGAAACAAAACTTTTAGGTCAAAATCAATTCAAACAGATCTTTGCAAAATCAAACCTCTAAACCCTAAAAAAAGGCACAAAATTGAAAAAATTGAAGAGAACTAAAAACACACAAACTTGAGTAGCTTAGTAAGCATTCATAGTATCTTCAGTAGCAGTTTTCCTTCCATCACTAGATTTAAACTCAGCCATATAACGATGATAATCTCCCTTTATCTTCAAGTAGAAGACTCTAGATTCACTAACAGAAGCAGTAGGAGTGAGATGAGAATTAAGAAGCTTCATAATACAAGTACATGAAAACCACAAGCTAACAAGAGCGATATGTTCAAAAATCAAATGCAAACAATAACAATATACCTATTTTAGTGGAAGTAACATGAAAACCACAAGCTTTAAGGAGCAACACGAAACTCAGAGACCACAAGCTTTAAGGAACCGGAGCCAGAGACAATCAAAAGGATTGGCAGTAGTCCATGACTGATCATCCATATACAGGAGTAACCTCGGAGATGCAGAAATCAGAGATAACTCTACAATGGTACTTTTAATTTTTTTAAAAGTTCAGCTATGCAAATCAGTTTATCAAATAAGGTAATCAATTCCAGGATATGAAATCAGAGGTAAATTAGTTTATCAAGGATATGAAAGGTCATCAATACCAGAGTCGCCATTCCAGCGACCATTTAAAAACTAATACATTCACTTCATTTTAACATACTTAAACTCAACCTAAAAAGAACTTTCAATAGCTTCTCTAGGAGTAAACTAACACATTCACTTCATATTAACATACTTAAACTCAACCTTAAAAAATGAAAAGAAATAACCTTCAATAGCTTCTCTGGGAGTCTTGAAAGACAAACTAATGCACTTCTAGAGCCTGTTTCCTCTTTTCTAGGGTCGCTTTTCCTTTTCAATTTTCTTCAAGCTGCAATTTCCATAATATTATTAAAATATACTCCCTCCATCCCAAATCACTCGTAACGGTTTGACTTTTTGCACTATTCACACATCTCACTTTGACTTCTTTTTTTAGCTATTATATGAAAGTCAATGTAATCATGTAAGATTTTGTTGGATATATTTTAATGTATAGTTTCTTAATAAACTTCATATAACTTATTTAAATATATAATAAAAGATATCAACGGTCAAATATGTGCATCGGCAAGCGTGTCCAGTCAAAATGTTGCAAGTATACTGGGATAGAGGGAGTATAATTTAACTTAATTCCCGTTAAAAAAAAAAAAAAAAAAAAAAAAAAAAAAAAAAAAAAAAAAAAAAAAAAAAACTTAAATATCTAACAAATTTAGCATTTTACAGAGTTGGATGATTACCTCAGAAACACTCTAGGCTGCTTCAAAAAGGCCTTCTCGGTCTGTTTTATAAATATCGAAATATAAATTAATAATATGATAACATAAATACTTAGAATATATAATAAGATCGAAATTCAATTAATCAAAGTAATTAGATTGAAATAGTACATGTTCCACCATAATTGAGTGGTTATAAGGTGAGGCTCAAAAGAGGAGAGAGTGAAAGAAAAGGAGAGAAGAAAGAAGATGAAGTAGTTGCCTTCTTAACCACATCATAGTTGTATGATCCTTTTTCTCTAAGGCCTCATCTTCTCTCCATTTCTTCAAAAAAAATTTATTTTTTCCTTAAATACACCTATATGTTCAACAGAGAATACATTAACACCTTAACACTTACCATTAAACCAATCAAATTCGATATTCATCACAAAATTATCACTTGCTATTATTTTTAACTTAAAGATGAGTTCTAAAGATTATACCAGGCATATCTGACATCTTAGTACATCAAAAAGTCAAAAACCATAATTCAAAATGACTAAATGAGATATCAAGGAATCATGTAAACATACTTTCGGTGCCGAAAATCGAGTGGCAAAACAGGAGAAGGTGAACCAGCATCTGATTTAAGTGATCATGCCTTGCCTAATATGAAAACTCTAGGTGTAGTTGTTGCAGACTTGCTGCTGGGAGTATCAGATCTGCTTAGGATAAAAACATAGAAATATTAGACAACCATAAAATGAAATGCAATCAATCATCAGTATAATCAAGAGATACCAGCACAGAAAAATGCATTGCAATCGAGAGCTAATTTTGGATAATCAATGAGAGTAGATGAAGAAACTAACAGATATATTAGAATCTCGATTGTTACATTTTGGATGATCAATTCTAGTACCTGAATGCCCTTAGGTGAGTTAGAACGCAAACACGCAGCTTAGTATAGTACCACCCACCAAGCGCACCGCAATCCTTGAATCAATTCGGATTTCAGAAGAACTCTAACAAAAAAATTCCCAATATAAGAATTAAAACCCCACACACACACACACACAAAAAATGCAATCAATACCACCACAGCAGATAGGAATTCAAAAACTCCTCAAAAAAATCCCAAAAAAAAAAAAGAAAGAAGAAGAAGATGAACCTTATCGCCTCATTCGATATAAATCATATAATAGCCAGATTCGTTTTGCGAGTTGGTTTGAATTGCTGATAAGAAGAGCGGCAGAGAATATAACAATACAGAATAAATTAAAATCATCTAAAAGCACAACACAAAATCTAAACTATTAGTAATTTAGCAGTTTAATTCTATCAAAATAAATTAACAAATTTAGAACATATTTGCAAAATTAACATCTAACACTCAATCAATCGAACCCCAATAAAAATTAGCAATTGACAGGTAACAAAACACAAAAAAAAATTAATCGATCATTTGACCTTCACCCTCGTTCGAGATCCGTTTTCTATCTCCTCGTTCAGCGGCTATTTTTCCTTCCATTCCTCAGTCTCTCGGAGTTTGAGGGTGCTGAGTGACCGTGGAGGACAGGCTGGCAAAATTGCGTTGATCAGTGGTTACAACTAATTTGATTAACCATCGCTTAAAAAATCCAACTTAGATTAGAAGCTGCATTTGATGGAGATGAGAAAGCTCAGAAGGTGCTACAGCAATGTAGGCTATTAAGAAATAGGAAAGAGGAATTAAAAAATATACAGAAGAAATAAAGAAAATTAAGTTTCCGATGACCCAATAAGGCTCATTGTTGATGGTTGTAGAGAAAATGAACAGGAAAGAAGAGAGAGAAAAGAGGCGTACAGAAGAGAAACTGCAGAGATAGAGCCCATAGAGGAAAGTAAAATGCAGAAGAAAAACAAAAGCCAAAGGTCAAGATTTCCATTGATTGCAAATGCATGCTAAGTGATATAATCTAGGTGTAGGAGCTATGAGGAAGTGAAGAAGTTTGCCACATCTTTACCACCTCAGCAAGTTCACACATGCAATTGGCACATGTTGCTACTGTTCATAAGGAGCAAGGTGAAACCTTTTAAAAGGTGAGGATAAAGTATAAGTATTGTTGATAGGAAAGAGAAATAATAATAAAAAATTAAAAAAATAGTATAAGTGGGGTTGGTAAGAAAGACTAATACTCCTTATTTTATTATTTGTGAAAGAGGGATTAATAGGAGAGAAATTGGAAAATTTGTCAATTTGCAGCCATTTAAAGTTTGTATTTTGCAAATTGCAGTCGTAAAAAAATTGCAAATTGCAGCCCAAAAGTTATTATAAATTGTAAATTGCAGCTCGATTTAATTTTTTCATCGGTTTACGTGTCGAAAAAAATTCGGTTAAGGTCTGAATTGAGCTCGGAATTAGCAAAAAAATAACTTAAGTGCAAAATGTATCGATTTGTGGGCAACTATTTTTTGCTGTAAAAACGAGGCACTTACGTTATTTTTTGCTAATTACAAACTCAATTCATTTCCCTAAGAAATAAAATAGCCCTTAAAACCTTAACCAAATATTTTTTGACACGTAAATCGATGAAAAAATTAAAGCATACTACAATTTATAAGAACTTTTAGGCTGCAATTTGCAATATTTTATAATGGCTGTAATTTGCAAAATACTAACTTTTTTTTAAAAGGCTTTGCAAAATACTAAATATAAACAGAGATTTTTCAGTGTGGCAGGCCACATGGTGCGGCAGGGGTTACTTGTAGGGTGTTACTGGTTTTGTCAAAGGTTACTTGTAGGTGTTACTTGTATTTTGGGTTTACTTGTAGGTGTTACTTGTATTCTGATTAACCCCTACAAGTAGCCCCAGACCAAACCCACATACCAAATCAGTAACACCCGACCAAAACCAGTAAAACCATACAAGTAACCCCAGAATATACTATACAAGTAACACCTACAAGTAACATCCTGACCAGAACCAGTAACACCCTACAAGTAACCCCATAATACAAGTAACACCTACAAGTAACACATGGTGTAGCAAGGATTACTTGTAGGGTGTTACTTGTATTTTGGGATTACTTGTAGGGGTCTCTCTGAATACAAGTAACACCTACAAGTAACCTCAGACCAAACCCCCATATCAAATCAGTAACACCTGACCAAAACAAGTAAGACCATACGAGTAACCCCAGAATACAAGTAACACCCTGACCAAAAGTAACACCAGAATACAAGTAACATCTTATAAGTAACCCCTGTCACACCATAAAAATTTGTTAACTTTAAATGGTTGCAATTTATAAATTTTTCACAAAAATTATGAAATAAAAATTAATCCTTGTCAAATATAGTAGTATTATAATTATTATGAAACGATTGAAATTGAAAAGTGTTGTATTTAATATGAAACCCGGGGAGTAATGGAGTATCCAACTAAAATCTTAGCATTAAAATGATTTTTTATACAGTATGTATTACGTAAGAGATAAGAGAAACTGTTTTCACTTTCTTCCCACTTTCTTATAAATTAAATATGAAAGTGACCGTTTTGCGTTACATAGTTTTTGTCCGCAAGTCTGTAAGGCATGAATTCATGAATCACTCAAATTGACAGAGAAACATTATTTACGCGCCGCAATTTTGCCATATCATACGCTCAACGCGTTTTATTGATTTAATAAAATGGTACAAAAATTTCACTACACTCCCAAATTTGTTTCAAAAACCCATGTTCTGGGGTTTTTAGCTACTCTTGTTTTCAATTTCAACACCTAAATTTGACTTTGTTTTTTTTGTTATATATATATATATATATATATATATATATATATATATACACTACATGCAATATAATTGTGACATAATAAGAGAGAAAGTACAGAAAAAAATGGAGATATATACTCAAGTGAAATTTTATTTAGTTTTTGTCATGGTTTCTATTCCATTGACATTGGCGAAACTTCAAGTCGGCTTCTACGGAACTTCATGTCCTCAAGCTGAATCGATTGTTCAACAAGCTGTGCAACAACGATTTGCGGTTGATCAATCTATAACTGCTGCCTTACTTCGGATGCATTTCCATGATTGTTTTGTAAGGGTAAGTACTCTAATTTAATTATTACTCTTGTGTTGTATGCTAGTCTAGAGATTATACTAGTACGGCTAGCAAGCTATTACTTCATCCATCTAAAATAGTTTTTATCTTAATTAGATCAAGATTTAACGTAATATATGCTATATCTATCGTAGAAAATGACTAATTACAAACGTTCAATTATAAATTAATCTCTTACTACTTATGGTGAAGATGTGGGGAACTAACCTTGTGACTTTGAGATCATTAGTTTGAGTCCTATCAACTATATTTGTTGAATACTATAAGTCTAGATTGATATTGTACTAATCATCCTTTATCTATGTCTAATACACAGGGTTCTGATGCGTCAATACTAATAGACTCCACCCCAAAAAACCAATCAGAAAAAGATGCTTTTCCAAATTTAACCGTACGAGAATACACACTCATAGACCAAATCAAGTCCATGTTAGAAGTTGCATGTCCTGAAACCGTCTCATGTGCAGATATCATAACACTAGCAACTCGAGATGCAATAGCCTTATCAGGGGCAACGATACAATGTGCCAACAGGGCGGCGTGATGGGCTAGTCTCAAGTATTAGCGAGGTGGATCTACCTGGGCCGACGCCCACTATTTCTCAAGCCCAACAAGCATTTCAAGCTCGAGGATTAACCCTAGCGGATATGGTGGTGCTCTTAGGTGGTCACACACTTGGTGTAACACATTGTAGTTTCTTCCGAGATAGGTTAACTAATTTCCAAGGAACCGGCTCACCAGACTCTACTATGGACCAAGAATTAGCTACTACCCTAATGAGTACATGTGGATCGGATCCAAATTTGGATCCTACCACATCCCTTGACCAAAACACATCATTTGTGCTTGATAACGAGTATTATAACCAAATTATGAAGAATAAAGGGATTTTACGGATTGACCAAGAAATAGCATTGGATAAATCAAGCTCTAAGTTGGTTTCTAGGTTGGCATCTAATAATGCATTGTTTGGACAAAGGTTTGCCAAGGCAATGGTCAAGCTCGGAAATATGCAAGTTCTTGAGGCCAATGCAGGGGAGATAAGGAAAAATTGTAGGAATTTTAATGCACTTTTCAAATAGAGATATACTTGTGTTAGATATTCATTTATTTATTTGTTTATACATAAAATTTGTCCATCCGTCCGTCTAATTTATCAATACTTCTATTTTCATTGTATTAGTCCTCAATATCATGCCTAAAGCCCAAAGCGGAACAGCCATGAACAATTAAATATGTGATTGGATCAAAAGCACACCAAGCCCATTATAATGGCCAAGCACTCTTTGCAAACCCATCGGATCTAACTTTTCAGACATCTGATGGGTATCCGATCCAAGTTTACCAATATCCGATCCAAAGACTTGTTATGGATTGGATATTCAATTCGAAAAAATGGATATCCAATACCCATTTGGTTATTGATTCTCAAACATTTCAAATATCCGATATTCTAAATAAAATCGAATATTAGATATCCTATCCATAATCTGAAATACTCCTCTCATGTTTTTTTAAGTGTTACACTTTGACCGATACATATTTTTGGGCAATTTAGTCGGCTTTATTTAGTAATGGCGAATAAAAGGGACACTTGGCAGTGTCATATTTAAAATTTAACAAAAGTATTCTTACAATCTAACCATAATGGAGGATTGTATCTAAAAAATGACAATTGTTTTACATAAAATCTAAAGGAAAAATACACTTTAAGAGCATCACCAATGGTATACAAATAGAGACTTGCTTGCAAATTAATTAAAATTACAAGCATGTAGTTTACCATTGGAGTGAAAAATTGTTGTAGCTAGATTAAGCAACTTGCTCAAACAAGCAACGTTGCTTGATTTTTCAAAGATAATATCACCCATTAAACATATGACATGTGTATAATAAAACATATTTTGATTATTTATATTTCTTCCAAGCTACAATATACTACAATTAACCATTAGAGCACTTTGTAGCTACAAAATATATTAGCTTGTAGCTTACCATTGGAGATACTCTAAATATCTCAACTATAAACGATTTACTTCTAATAATCCCAATTAAGGTTTATTTTTGAATAATCCTAACTATGAGGTTAGTTTGCCCCTATTAGACCCAACCGGTCATCAATCTAATATAGCAGGTTATTTTGACACGTGGCATTATATGAGTGGTTAATAAAAACAAAAAAAATTAAAAATTAAAAAGCTGAAAAATTAAAAAAAAAAATTAGGAAAAATACACTTTAATAATCCCAAATATGAGCGATTTACCTACAATAATCCCAACTAACGTTTATTTTCTAATAACTATTAGGTCAGTTTTCCTCTAGCAATCCCAAAAACCGATTACCTGCTGAAATGGTAAACTTTTTTTTTTGTTTTTAAATGCCACATGTCAGCACATGATTGGCTTTTTTTTTTTTAAAAAAAAAAAAGAAAAATCAGACCATTAGCCATCCTTCCTCCCTTCAGCCACAACAACTACCCCTTCATTCCCAAATCCGACCACCGGGAGATCGACCATCCCCTTCCTCAGCCTTGTAGCTAACATCATCCTCCGCCGCAAGCCCGCAACCACCAGTTAAGTCATTGTTCACCGCCTTTAATCTCGCGGATTCAAGCCTTGACGAACTACCACGAATCTGTTGCTTGATTCAACCAGCAGTTTTCGGCGAGGTGTCGCGGGTTCAAGCGCCTGCCGCTACTGCTCCCCCTTCTTCTTCCTCCTCCAACTCTAAAAACCACTGGTCACCCCTAAACCACCAATCGATAGGTTGAGCTCGAAGAGGAAAAACCAAAATCACCCCTTTAAGGTGGTCGAATTCGAGGTTGGGCTCGCTTTAAGGGGTCAGGGAGGGCTCGTTGGGTGGTTT